TTTTCTAAGTGATTTTTAACTTGTTCTTTTTTATTTTATCTTCTAAACCTACCCCCTTCCCATTAGCATTCACTATGTTAGACATTCCTTCAGACTTCTCAGTGAAGACTGAAACAAAGAAGACATAAAGCATCTCTACCGTTTCCAAGTTTCCTGTTACTGTTTCTTCCCCCTTACTGACCCTGTCCTTGGTCTTCCTCTTGATTCTAATGTATTGATAAAAAGTCTTCTTGTTTCCCTTTATTCCTATAGCTAGTTTGAGCTCATTTTGTGCCTTTGCCTTTCTAATCTTGCCCCTGCATTCCTGTGTTGTTTGCCTGTATTCATCCTTTGTAATTTGTCCTAGTTTCCATTTTTTATATGACTCCTTTTTATTTTTTAGATCATGCAAGATCTCGTGCTTAAGCCAAGGTGGTCTTTTGTCTTAACCATGAGATCTTTCTAGGTGTCTAAACTTTGGCTGTTGTGATGCTAAGCGTCACCTTGCCTAAGTTTCTTTGTGAATCAAGTCCCGTTTTCATGAGGCTATTTTCCTACAAGAAAGGGGGAAATCACCTCTCCTCTGATCTTTTCTTTCTCTAGAGACCCTGCCCTATCAACTGCGCTTTCTGATCTCAAAGGCAGAGAAAGAGGGTAAGTTTTCATGAGGATATTTTTGTACAACAATTATTTAATTAAAATGTCAGGATTAATTTTTTAGAAGAAGCTTCTGAATTCAAACAAGAGGTTTCCACCAATACAGAGTCATGGATTCCAAGGTTAGAAGGAATCATTATATCATAAGAACAGCCAGACTGAATCAAACCAATGGTCCATCTAGCCCAGTATTCTGTCTTCCAACAGTGGCCAATGCCAGGTGCACCAGAGGGAATGAACAGAACAGGTGATCATCCAGTGATCCATCCTGTCACCCACTCCCATTTTGTGAGGTATGAACGTGCACATACTATTTACAATTGGAAAGTAGGGTACATTTTTTAGGTCCAAAAATCAGTCTTTAGGGCACACTCAGGTCACATTTCGCTGCTTCTCTCAGTAATTATAAGGACTAGAAATTTGCTCTATTTTTATTTTTTGTATGAAAGACAAGCTTCGCTGCTGGAAAACGTCATTAACACAGAGTGCAGGTTGACCATCAGTGCCTTGTACGCTTCCAGAACGTGAAGGGAACCCATATTTCAAGCTCTGAAAGCTGGGAAATAAAGAGTTAAGGAAGCGTCTCCCACCAGCTCCTATGCTATACTTCCCTCTCGCCCTAGTGTCAGGAGCATGGACTCGTGTGCTGGGCTCCATCCATCCCCAGCTGGTGGAAGGTCCCTTGGGGAGGAGACCACACTAAGGCCAGTACTGAACCAGGCAAAGAATCAGGACTGCAGCGGCAGTCAAAAAAGCAAACAGAATGTTGGGAATCATTAAGAAAGGGACAGATAATAAGACAGAAAATATCATATTGCCTCCCTATAAATCCATGGTACAACTACATCTTGAATACTGCATGCAGATGTGGTCTTCCCATCTCAAAAGAGATATATTGGAATTAGAAAAGGTACAGAAAAGGGCAACAAACGACTAGGGGTATGGAACAGCTGCCATATGAGGAGAGATTAATGAGATTGGGACTTTTCAGCTTGGAAAAGGGGAGATATAATAGAGATCTATAAAATCATGATGACTGTGGAAAAAGTAAATAAGGAAGTGTTATTTATTTCTTCTCATAACATAAGAACTAAGGGTCACCTAATGAAATTAATAGGCAGCAGGTTTAAAACAAACAAAAGGAAATATTTCTTCACACAACACACAATCGACCTGTGGCTCTCCTTGCCAGAGGATGTTGTGAAGGCCAAGACTGTAACAGACTTCAAAAAAGAACTAGATAAATTCATGGAGGATAGGTCCATGAATGGCTGTTAGCCAGGATGGGCAGGGATGGTGTCCCTAGCCTCTGTTTGCTAGACACTGGGAATGGGCGACAGGGGATGGATCACTTGATGATTGCCTGTTCTGTTCATTCCCTCTGAAACACCTGGCATTGACCACTCTATTGGCCTAGATGGACCATTGGTCTGATCCACTAGCTACCTAATGTTCTCTTCACTCTGCTCCGTGGAGCTGTCGTGCACCAGAGAAGCCAGGCTACTGTCTCTTCTCAGATGTATTCAGAGGGTGAATGCAATTTAACAGCAGGGAGTAAGGAGCTCAGTTAGATACATGTATAACTAGATTCTCTAGAAAGCCATGGTCTGGCAAGGGAAGGCTTTTTACTGGATGAATGGAGAAAGGACCGAAATTGCGACCTCCTCTTCCCATCTACTGACCAGAAGCCGGTCTACTGCCTTCCTCCATAGAGATCCCATATCTCTTCCCTCTGCAACAAATCCCCAAATCAATATTGTAAGAATAATCCACCAAGCACATATAAAACCCCAGCCACATGCAGTGATCATCTGCTCTCTGGACTGGGGAAGGAGAAAACACTCTGGGGCCTGGAGCCCCTTTTTGGTGTGTTAGAGAATCTCCAGGAGTCTAAATAGCCCCTCTGAAATCAACAGGGGTGTCGGGAGGCAGGCTGGACCCCCACTCCTGGTCCTTACCAGACTAGCTACCACATTAAGTGTGACTAGCGCAGACACAATTTAGTACTTTTCAAATGCATTAGCTGGTGTCCCTGTTAACGTCCTC